TCCAGATTCTGAGTGTTACAGTCTTGCCTCCTAAGATGAGGTGGCTGCAGAGTGTTTTCTAGATCTCCTACATTATTTAAAAAAAAAAAATGTCATCCAGTTCCGGTAGTAGCTAAGTAGAGCGGTTGAGCTCTGTGGGTGGAGGGCGTCCTGGGGTGCTGGCACCGACAGCTGTGCTGGAAGCCTGGGCCTGGTTGCCAGACCCCTCCGTCCTGCCTGGTGGAGGGCCCCTCTGCCACCAGCCCCCACCCCTGCCCTTGACTTCTTTTTCATCCTCAGAAGTAAAAGTGTGAGCCATATTTTACTAAGGAGTATAATTATCCCCTAGTTTAGTGCAAACAGAATTTTACTCAGAGCACAGCAGGTGGGAAGGAGGCCTCTGGCGCACACCGCAGCCCTCCTCCCTGGCTCCGTCCTGCTTGGCCGGCACCATGTCCGGCTCACCGTCTCCGTGCCTCCTGCCTCGGACTTACCCAGTGGGGCAGCGGCCTCCTTGGACCCCCGCACCCCCACATTTCCTGCTATATCGCTGCCTGCGTTGCAGCCTCTGCCACCCGGCCCCCTGCAGTGCTGGGGGAGAACCTCCCCTTCCGGATGGATCTTGTCTGCCCACAGACTCGCGGCAGGTTGTGTCCTAGTGCCACGCCCGTCCGGCGTGGCGGGGCGCCCCCCTCAGTGGCGGTGACCGGGAGAATGGGACTAGGTCCCCGCCGTGGCAGCCTCCCGGTACCACACAGGGCCCCGAGGAACAGCGCTCACTCTGTCAGTCACATTCTGCTCCACGCGCGCGCACATCCCAGCCCCGCTGCCGCGGCTGCTGTGTCCCTGAATCTCCACCTTCTCCTCCGGGGAAGGAGCCTCGGGAAGCAGAGCCGGGTCTGCTGGGTTCACCCGCAGCGGGGAGGGAGGGAGAGAAAACCTCTAGCTCACTCCCACCCGCAGACACTGAGCGGAGTCGCGCATGTTCAGGAACACGCTGTGGGGCTGGGGAGTTTCTGGTCCAGCCGGGCCGGTGGCCCTGAGCTCGTGGGACAGGAAAGAGAGGAGGGCGCTTGCCAGCCCCAGGCGGTGAGGTCACATGAGGCTGCCGCGTATGTGTTGACCCAACTCTGCCAAAGCAGTATGCTGTTCCTCCCTCCTGGCAAAATGTTTTTCAGATAGCTCTTCGGAAATTTTCCGATTGGAATATTTGAAGTGGCAATTTAATTTTTTGTTATGGTAACACATACACAAGCAACAGCGGCCGTTTGGACCGTTTGTTAGTGCAGGGCTCTGATGGTCCGCTGTGCGGTAGGTTCGCCCGTACCCCCGCCCACCTGTCTTGCTCGACACCTCGGCTCTGTCCCCTCACACACCTGCTCCCCTGCCCCCTCCTGCAGCCGCCGTCCCGGCTGTCTCTGGGAGTCTGATTGTCCAGGTGCCCCATACCCTTGTTTTTCCCTGAGTACGATGTCCCCAAGGTTCATGCCTACTGCGGCGGATGACGGAGTTTACTGCCTTTTTTAGGCCGAGTAACAGTCCACCCGAGGATGGACCACGGGGTGTGGTTGGCTCAGCCGCCCGCAGGCGCTCAGGTTGCTTCCATCTCTTGGATCTCGTGAGGTCCTGCTGCGAGCCGGGGCGTAGCCGTGTCTGAGCCCCCGCTCTCAGTTCTTGGGGGCTGTATCCAGAAGCAGAATGATAGCTGGATCCCTGTTTCTGCACAGCACGGCCGTTTCATTTTGTAAATTCCCGCAGGTCTGGCTGACGCATGCTCCTCCCTTCCCAGCTTTTCGTTTTGTTTCGTTTTTGCTATCTTTGGAGTAAATATTTCCAGAAAAGAATTGCTTAAGCTCCTTTATATAACAGATTAGCAAGGACTTTTTTTTTTTTTAAGTTTTTATTTACGTAATCTCTGCGCCCAGGACGGTGAGCTGAGGAGGCAAGCTCCACTGAGTGAGCCGGCCGGACGGCCCCGTCAGGGGAACTTTCTGAACCGACAGCCTGGAACACCAAATCCAGCGTTGGATTGAGAAGCGCCTGTAGGCGGCACGGTGGCATGCCTGTTTGCTGTCCGCGGGGACAGGACCTGTGTCAAAGGGCAAAGTTCACACTTATTGTTTTTCTGGAAGGATACACGGTGCTGGTGAGTACACGTGCCTTCCAGCTATTTTAAGGACCGGCTCCCTTGATGACTTACGGGAACGTGGATAGAACAATCAGAGGATGTGGTGTTGTTCTGAGTCCCTCTTTAAAAACAAAAAAGGTTTTCCCGTCAGGTGGAAAATAGCAGACAATTCTTGTAGGAACGGTTGGGTCAGAGTGACATTTGTGGATTTAGTCTGACTTTTTGGGAACATTAAGAAGAATCCACCAAGGACGCTCTGTTAGCACCACGCCCTAGTTTTGCTTTCCTTCTGGTTGTTGGAGGTGTTTGTGGTTCCCTTATCTGCTTGTGCAGCTTTAGTTCCTGTGCCGTATGAGCAATACCATTTCTTGACACATGTGCAGAATTTTTTTTTTTTCCTTTATTTGAGAGAGAGAGAGAGCAGGAGCAGGGGGAGCAGCAAAGGGAGGGGGAGAAGCAGGCTCCTCCCTGAACAGGGAGTCCCATGCCGGGCTCCATGCTGGGACCCTGGGATCATGGCCTGAGCCAAAGGCAGACGCTTCACCAGGCGTCCCGTGTGCAGAAATTTATGATGAGGCGGCAGTCCTGGGTACAGCCCTCACCGCCATTCAGAAGCATCGTTCCTGTCAGGTTGGAGTGTGACTTGGAGTCTGATTCAAAAATCGTAAGCCAGGTCACCAGTCTTCACCGCCTGGGCCCAGAGACGCGCCCAAGCACCAGGAGCCTCACAAGGGCCTGGCCGTGGGCCTCAGGTGCCGTCCGCCACGAGAGCACGCCCAGGTGCGTTGTCAGGGCTCTGACCCGTATCTGACCGTTGGCACTGAGAGTCACGGTGTCTTGCCCGCAGCACTACACACATGACAGGAGAAGACCCCTGCCCCTGCGGCCACCCGCTTCGTCACCGAGGCAGGAGGAGACCCGTCGTGTTTGTTCCCGGCAGCACCGGCGGCCCCTGGAGCCGGGAAAGGGAGCTGTCCGTTCAGAACCCCCGGGAAGCAAACCGGGCGGGCGCCGGTCTTGTTACGCAGTAACAGGTTTGAAGCGCATCGTTTGCACAGGAGAAAGCGAGTGGCTATGGGGAGCCCACGTGGTGGCCCTGCCCAGGTTTTCCGGGGGAGCCACCTGGCCGCCACGGGCAGCACGGAGCCAGCGGCAGGCGGTGGAGAGAGCAGACGGAGAACAGAGTGCTTCTCAGTGAGAGTGGGGTAGACTGGCTCTTCCGGAGCGCTCTGCTGACCAGGGTGAGAGTGGCCTGTTCAGCCGGTCCACGGGGGGAGCAGGGCTTGGGACAAGCTGTGGTCTCTCATGCTGGGGACCCCCTTGGACGGGGGTGTTGCTGTGTCCCTGCCCCAGCGCACGGACGGCGTATTCCTCTGCAGTCCCTACGCTTGCATCGTCCTGTGGGAGGGAGTGCACGCTCTTGACAGCAGGATGAAACGCTTCGGATCGTTTTGCCTCACAGTGAGCAGGGCCGTGACTTACATATTAGGAGTCTTCAGCTTCACGTCTCCCTACCTCATGACGAGTTAGGGAAAAGCACGGCTCCCTGGGAGGCCTGTGGGGAGAGACTTTGCCGAGTAGCTCCCTCGCCCCAAATACCTTCTCCCCTCTGTGCCTCTGGAGCTTTGCCTCCAGCACTGCTGCACTCCGTCAGTGCGTAGATGTGCTCAGGCTGGTATCATCCACGTGGGCACCGTCGGGAGTGACATCATGAGGGGAGAGCCCTCGGCCACTACTAGCCACGCTGCGTGAATCCACGGTTCAGACGGACCCCCGAGCTTCCCGCCTTGCCCAGCCTTGGCGGCCCTTCCTGGGATGGGAGGTGGCTGTGCGCGAGGCCCCGGCTGGGCCCCTGCTCCCCGGATGAGCACCGAGTCCTGGTCGGGAGTGTGTGAGGGCTTGGGCAGCGGGGGCGCTGAGCACGCTTCCCGCCCCCGCTCTGCTCACCCCTGAGCGGCGTCCCATTGGGCTTTGCTCTGGGTCCCGCACCACGAGCTCTGCTGCCTTGTGCAGTCCTGGGCCTCTCTGTGCGTGTGTTCTCCTCGCTGGCGTGGACAAGACAGTGGCCGTGCTCAGGCCTGCCAGCCAGGTCGGTTACCGTGGTGCCTGGCCCGCGCAGAGGCGGGTGGTACCAGGCGGGCTGGTCGCTGTCAGCACTTGGTCCCCTGGCAGTTCTGGACTCATGGTGATGAGCTCCGTGTGGTGCTTTCCTTGCAAACCCTCGCTGGGACCCGACCCGAAGGATCCGAGGTCTCAGCTGGGAAGCTGAGGTGGGTGGCTTGGGAAAGTGGGGTGGGGTAGGGACAGGGAGGAGGAAGCGGGAAGGCGCTGTCAGCTAGGCGAGGCCGAGGAGGCGGGGAGGGCATCCAGGGTCTCCATCATCGCTGGTTGGGGTCGGGGGCTGGTGCCGAAGAGATGTGGTGCGGCCTTCTCCTTCAGGCCTTCATCCGGCCCCTCGCCCAGGTCTCCCCTCACAGGCCCGCGGCTTTGTGTAATAGAGCCAGTGGCAAGGGGAGCCGCAGTGCAGGTTCGGGGGCCTGTGTGGGACCCTGACACCAAGGACGATCTCATTGCCACGGCAGCGTGCTGTTCGCAGACCCCCGAGTCTGTGCCATACGCTTCATGGGCCGGGATTGTGTGATTTGGGGTTTGTGCATTTAGGCTTCTGGAGGTTCTTGGGATAGTGTGGATTGTTGCTTTGTCCAGTGTGGTCTAAACACAGGATGAGGGCCTCGCTGGTGAGTGTGGGTGCAGTGGTGAGGGACGGACTCCGCCTTGGAAGACAGGGCCAAGGCTTCGGCATGCACCTTCCCTCCCCGCCCTCAGCCTGTCTGTCTCTCTGTGGCCTCGTGACTTCTGGCCTGTGATCTCCAGCACATGTTTCTTGTTGCAGAGTATGGCGTTTGCGAGAACCTGCGGAAGCTGGACATCACGGGCGTGTCTTGTAGAGACGTCTATGCCAAGCGTAAGTGAACCTCTTGCCCGCCACAGCCCCCTTCGTTCCAGAGGCAGACGTAGAGTGAGCACCCACGACAGGAGTGCGGAGAATGTGACCTACAGCCCACAGTTGCCTCCCGGACGACGGCGCTGGGAGCAGCAGCTCTCAAAAAGGGTCTCTTTCCTCCATCTCCGGGGGTGTCTCGTCCTTATTTTCAGCCCGTCACATACAGTAGTGTCTTCTGTTAGGCGTGGGGAAGCGTTAGGTGTGAGAAACTGGCTGCACTGGGGACAAGCCTGGGGAGCTCCAGAGGTTCTTCTTCCTGGATCCTGGGCCGGCAGCCCGAGGGGCACGTGCACAGCAGCTTCACTGGGAAGTGTGGCGGCTTCCGCAGGCTTCCTCGGCCGCCTGGCTACAGCCCCGCGTCAGGCTCCGCCTTCGGGTCTCCATCTACCAGGCGACCTCCCAGCCCCACGTTGAGCACTCCAGTCCCCATTTCCTGTTCTCTGCTCGCTGGCTTTTCAGAGTCACCAGGGACACACCCCGAGTGCTCCGACTCCCCCCAGCCCCACATGTCTTTCCTCAGTGCTCCTTAGCGTGAGGCTGTGAAGATCTGTTCACACAGACACTGCCTAGGAGCTGTGGCCCGGCACCGACCCGCAGGGAGCAGCGGTGGGTTCACCCCTGGGCGGCGGTCTCATGTGGTCTTAGCTCCCCGGGGCTGGGGATCAAAGGACAGAGTAAGAGATGATGGGGACCATCTTTGGTTAAAGTTGACTGTTCACTGCTCCTAAAAGGACCTTAAGGGGATGCCTGGGGGGCTCAGTCAGTCAGTCAAGCGTCCGCCTTTGGCTCAGGTCATGATTGTGGGGTCCTGGATCGAGCCCGGCGTTGGGCTCCCTGCTCAGTGGGGAGTCTGCTTCTCCCTCTGTTCATGCTTGCTCTCTCTAAATAAAATCTTTAAAGAAATAAAAAGGACCTTCAAGTTTCATTTTAAAACAGTCTTGGTAGATTTGGGTTTTCACATCTTTGGAAATGTATCCATTGAAAGCAGAGCAGGTGCTGCCCCTTCCCAGATGCCTCACCGGGGTGGCGGCCGTGGTCTGACTCAGGACTGAGACGGAAGCGGGTCTCTGAGAGCCTCCGCAGTGCTGGCAGCCCCCCCCAGGGTCTGGGGCGCGCCAGCCGCTGCTCTCTCTGTGTTCCTGTTCTTAGTGGGTCTGTCACTCAGGCTCGCCCTGAGATGTCCCTCCTTCCTGTGGCTGTGGGGGAGCACGGGGTTTCCACGTAGGGCTGGCTCTGTGGGGGACGCGGGCCGTGCTCCCTCCTTGGATGTGGCCGGTTTCGCCCCGTCCGAGGCTTCCCTCCGCACCGTGATCCATGGCAGCTTGGGGCTGTGCCGTGGTTGGTGTTCTGAGGGGACTCGCCCACATTGGGGAGCACTCCTGTCAGTGGGCTGAAGGTTCTTCATGGACCTTCCTCAGGGGAGCTGGTCCGCTCACGACTTGCAGAGCTCGTGGGGACTCAGCTGTGCCGTCTGACCCACCACCTGCCTCTGGGAGCCCTCTGCCCGGCCACGCCCAGCACCCCGCTTTTCCCTGCCCTCCTGAGGCCTGGGCTTCATCCTTACCCCAGCCGCCACGCCCAGCTCGCAGTTGCCTCCTGAGCCCTGTCCTTGGGCTTGGCCCCCAGTGCAAGGCTGGCAGCTCGGGACCTGCCAGCTCCTCCTTCCCTGTGCTCGCTCGGACTTGCTTCCTTCTCTTGCCTCTTGTTCCACGTTCCACCAACCCAGGAAGACACGTCTCTGGGGACACGGGTCTAGGGGGCCCTAGTGGTCATGTGTCCTGATAGCCTGAGCCCTTCCTGTCTTTTCGTCTCTGCAGCCAGGCCGGTGCTATTCTGCGTCCTGCAAAGCCCAGAGTCCAGAGGCAGAAAGCCAGTTCTGTGCCTGCCTCCCGCCCTCCATGCCATGGGCGCTCTCATGGCCTTGGCTCCAGCCTTGGTTCCTCCACAGCTGCCGAGAATCAGCTCTTAAATCCGGCCAGAGCGTGGAGTTGGGGGGACTTGACGTGGCTGTCAGCCTTGGCGTTGGAGCAGGACTCGGTTCCGCCCACAACAGTCTCTGTTTGCGCACATGAAACTGCTGTCCTGGCTTTCCTGGATGGTCAGCTGGCTTCGGGGTTTTATGACCAGACCTGAGGTCGTTAGGTTTGGGATATCGGATTGGGTTGGATGTTGGACGATATCACCGGAAAGGCACTCGAAGGCAGAGTTCTCTGCAGGAGCGTAGGAGTTACCATTCCAAACAGCACCTGGACGAAGGCGGGTGCGGACACCTGCCTGGTGTGGGGGCAGATGTGGGAATAAGGCCCCCACGGAGTTCAGCTCGGTTATGCTGTCTTGTGGAGCACAGGTGGGCAGTAGCCGTGAGCAGCAAGTGGTATGGCCGGGCGTAAGCTGGGGGTGGGAGAGGGACGGGGCCAGGCGAGGGGTGCAAGCTCGCCTGCACATCTGGATGGCTGGGGACACGGACAGGTGCAGGACGACATCTGGAGATTTCTTTTCATTGCTGAATCTTGAACCCTTAAAAATGGTTTCAAGATCCAGGGAATGATGACCTTTTTCAGTGTCTGGAAGTGTTGAATCTGCACTGGTCAGAGCCAGCTTCAGTTTTCATGCTCATGATGTGAGAACTGTGTTTTTGTGAGTTTGCTCTGAATGCCTTATCAAGGAGAAAATTGCTTAGCCTCTGGAACAGGTGGTGGAAGAAAATCAAGGTTGGTTCCTGGCATAGATGGGTTCAGGAGGGAGGGGGCCTGAGTTAGGAGGCCGCAAACATCACCCTTAGAAATAAAACAAATGCAGAGTAGTCAAGGGGAAATGCCAGGTGTGCACCAGGCGAGGGAGAGATCGGAGTCAGATACAGGGTTCCCTAAAGGGTCCCCCAAACATCCCCTAGCCACAGCCTTGGCTTCCCACCTCCGTGTGCTCCCTTGATCTGTGGCGGCTGAGAGAGGAGGGTCCCGGGCTTGCCCACCTTCATGAGTTTCTGGTGTGGCTCCACTGGTTAAAGGAAGACAGGTCACCGCTGTCAAACACTTGCACCCTGAGGTTCTGGGGGCTGAGTGTGCAATGGGAGATGTCCTTCGTCAGTGAGGGAGGGTGTCGAATCACGGAAACAGACCGTCCTGGAAGCAGAGCCATCTTTACCCTTTCCCTGCTGTGTCTGTTCAGGTATAAACCCTCGCGTGAAGTCGGGACGTTTCATGAAAATTCTTCCCGATTACGAGCACATGGAATACAGAGATGTTTACACCTGCCGTACGTACCTGCTGCTGGCTTTGGCTTTGCGGGCGAGCACGGCCGAGAAGCTGCATGGAGAGGGGCCTCTAACTCCGGGCACGAGGACTGCTTGGGTGTTTAAAAGCGAGCTGCCCTCCTTGGCTTCTGCTGTTTTCTTACCTTTGCTGTTTTCTGTGGCTTGGCCACAGCTGAGGCCACTCCTGAGCCGTGGCCCTGGGTCGGCTGCACACGTGGGCCGGGACTCCGCGGCAGCTTTGGGGTTCTTGGGTAGTACTAGAAAGACCACTCCGTTGGTGCACATTTTAGTATTTATTGTTTATGGGGCTGAGAGGACAGGGTAGAAGCCTTAAAACACTTGTGCTCCAAGGTTAAGTGTATGCGGTTTGCTTCTGGATTTCGTTAGTCACGTTGTAATAGCGTATGTGAATTAAAAACACTGGGCAGAAGTGAGCAGAAGCACTTGATTATTTAGAACCTGATTCCCCTCTCCATGGGTGTTCCTTGAGTCTGGAACTTTCCCTGAGTCGTACCCCACACATGTTCCACGCTCTTCGGTTGAGCTGAGGCGGAAAGTGAGTATCTGTTGTCACGAAGACATCGCATATGCCTGCTTGTGCTGAAAGGGGTTGTTACGTTCCTGGAAGCACACGGCCCATTCCCTCATTCCTCCCACCCCTCTGAACCCTCCACGTGTGTCGCTTGCCTGGAGCAGACCCGCTTCTCAGTCTCGTAGACACACAATTTCTATCAAAACCTGTGGGAGCAGAGGAAACCGAGTTGCGCGCGAGATCGCTCCTAACCCCTGTCCGACGGTGGACACGGGACACGCAGCCGAGGTGTGTCTGCTGGTCCTGTGGAGACCATCCCGCTGCCAGGGCCCTGGTTAGCCTGCTTCGGGGGCGCAAGGATGGGGTGCAGCTCCTGACCACGCCCACCTTGCTCACTTCATCAGGCCCAGAGCTGAACGGGGTGGAGACGGGTGACCAGAGGCCTCGTCGGGAGCGTGTCTGAGCGGCGTGAGGAGCTGGCTGGGCTCTCGGGGGCCGGGCGGCTCGGGGCTGGGGCCGGGAGGCACGAGTTGGGTCCTTGCTGAGCGCTCCGGGAGGTCGCGTCCTGCATGTTCCGTCCTGCGTTGACCCACCCTCCCGGTTAGCACCCGTGAGCACGGGTGCCTTATCCAGCCCAGCCTCCCAGAACTGTCTGCTCTGCCTGGTGTGTGAGGCCCTCAGGGCCTGGCACCGTTGTCTCCTGTGCCCACTTGCCCTGTTCCTGGAGCTCTTGAGAACCTGTGTGCCCTGGTCCCCTGGTCCCCTGGTCTCTGCTGACCAGAGAGGCTCGGCAGCCTCAAGCGGACGACGCCGTCTGGGGAGAGGCAGGCCGGCGCGTCCAAAGCGAACCTCCGAGGAGCTGTGTGGCCCGCGGGAGCTGCGGCTGCTCGCTTCTGCTTACTCCGTCAGGCCGCGTCGTTGGCCGGCAGTTCTGGCCCGTCCGTGTCTGAGGGAGCGGGCGGCATCTCGCGGGGAGCGCGTCGTGCTCACGGCATAGCGGACACGTGTCCTCGTGCGTGAACTGAGAGTGGCTGTCTGTGACCATGGGGCGCTGGGTTTCGAGGTTCCCGTCTAGAGCTCTGGCCGTGCACCAGGTCGCTCCAGGGGGTTTGGTGGAGCATCACGCAGCCCGCGGCGGGGAGACGGAGAGGCCACGTTTAATGCTTGGGCGCAGGTGGCAGGGTGTTAGGCTGCACTGGGAGAGTCTGACCGGAAGGCTCCTCCACAGTCCAGTGGGCCGGGGCGGGGAGCGGGAACGCACCAGGGGTGTGCGGAAGGGGGAGACCCCTGGGAAGTCTGGAAACAGGAAGGTGCCTGTGGCGGGGGCAGGGGCCCCGGCAGGAAGTGCAGCTGGGAGACGGAGCCCACCTGCCCATCACCTGGCCGAGGCCTGGAGCCGTGGGGTCTTCCTGCTCGCACCCCGGATGTTGATTCTGGTCCTGCAGCTCGACGCGGTTCCTGGGTTAGCCCCGCGGGCTTTTCCGCGGCCTTTTCCACCGACGGCGTCACGTCGGCTGCAGACGGCGAAGGGTTTACTTCTTTGTTTCCAGTCTGGGTGCTTGTTACTGCTTTTTGGACCGGTTGCTCCGGCCAGGGCCTCCGGCACGGTGTGGGCGAGAGGGGGCGAGCGGGGGCGCCCTGCCTTGCTCCGACCTCAGACCGCAGGCTCTCGGCTTTCCCGCTGAGTGTGACGTTAGCGGGGGGTTCTCACCCGTGGCCTTGTTCCGTGGAGGCACAGCCCTTCTTGACCCACTTTGCGGAGTGTTTCTGTCCTAAGTAGGTCTGGAGTTTTTCAGGTGCTCTCCTTGTGTCTGTCGAGGACGTACGGTTTTTGTTCTCGATTTTGTTAAGGTGCTGTCACCGCTTGGATTTCTGGATGTTGGACCATTTTTTAATCCCAGGATAAACCCCATCTGATGAACGTCACTGACCCTTGTAACGGACTGCTGAGTGGGATCTGCTTGTGTTTTGTTGAGGACTTTTGTATCCACGTTTATCAGGAGATTGGCCTGCAGGTCTCTGTCCTCGTGGCCTCCTAGTTTCGGTACGAGGGTCGTTCTGGCCTGGTGAGCTTGGACACGTCTCCTGCTCTGATTTTGTTTGTCTCTGTGATGATCTTGTGGACCAGAGTGACGTGCGGGAGCACCCGTCACCCAGAAGCCCGGCTCCCCAGCCTCAGACGTGGTGGTTCAGGCACGAGTGAGGGCCGTGCCGGCGGGGGCCGGCTGTCTGCGTGAGGCCACGGGGGACCAGAGCCAGCTCCCCGCCCACACCGCGCCGAGGACAGCGGGATCTTTTGGGTTTGGTGTTGTCCCTGTGCCAGGAGTTTCCCACTTGCCTACGGCAGTGGCCTTCGCGCTGGCAGGTGAGAGTTCGCTGGCCCTGACTAGGACGGGCTGTCTTCCTGCCAGCGCTTGAGCAGGGAGGTCCCTGAGCCAGCTCAGATGGTTCCCCCTTTTTGGGGAACCGAGGGCGGTGTCTTAGAGCCGGGAAGGTTTTTCTGAATATGGCCACACTGACCTCGGGGACCAGTGGTTGGAACAGCCTGCTAGCTGCCTTGTTTGGAAGAAACAGGAATTACTCCGAAAGGCCTGCGTCCTGCCTTCTGGGATGGAGCAGCGGCATTTCCACTGTTGTCACGGGTAGCGGGATTTTCCCGTGTTCAGGCTGTCTGCCCATGAACTGAAGTTCCGTAGCGTCCTAAAGCCCATGACAGTAAAGTACCTGAAGGGCCTAACACAGTCGCCTCCACATCTCGGGTCTCCTGCCCAGTCTCTGTAATTGGACCCCTGGTCAGCGGCTGTTTGGAGACCTTGCAGGGGGGGCTCTGTGAGCTGGGGGTCTTCCTCTGGGTCTGGGGAGCGCCTTGCGCCAGCACATCTCAGCCAGCCCCCCCCCCCACCTCATGCAGGGCCAGGCGGAGGGTCCAGTGGGAGCGTGAGGGACAGTGCGTGGACACGTGCACTCTCCTCGTCTCGTTCGGGGTTGGCTTTCCCAGCAGGGCTCGGGATTAGACGGTGACTCAGCGCGGCCCCCCTGCCGGTGTGGACACCCAGTGTTTGTGTGACTCAGGTGGACACTGTCAGTCTGGAGGCGCCCTGGGCTCTTGCTGGACCCTGTTCTGGGTGGTTGTAGTGTGTAAAGTGTCTGCCCAAAACACAGAACTTACACCTGCACGAGGAAACGGCTTGTCCGCTAGGGGTCCGCTAGAGGTCCTGCTCGCAGCCCTGGGGGTGGTGCTGGGCTCCCGCTCTCCCTTGGACCGTCTCGAGGGTGGTCCCAGGCTGAGCAAGTCGGTGTCATTGCATCCGCGGGGGCCATGAGGGGCACGGTGATTTTTCTAACACGTGTAGAGCTCATATGTCCAGAGAGGGCTGCCGCGCCAAGCAGACACGGGGAGGGCGGCGTGTTTATTTCAACGAGCTGTAACTTCTAAAGCAAAACAGGGAACTCTTCGAATCGCCAAGAGTCTCGCATGTTCTTCGAGCCGTCCAGGGGCTCTGAGATTGTAGACTGGTTTGGAAAAGAACCAGACCGTTGCTGGCAGTCAGACTGAGGGTGGGGGGAGGGGAGGCAGGAGGGGAGACAGGAGGGGATGGTCACGCTGAATGGGCCCATGTATTGTACTCACCAGTATTTCATCATGAAAGATTTAAAAATCTACAAGAAAGAAACGTGGACGGGATCACAGAGCAAACACCCACTTAGCATCACCAGATCCTACAACCCTCAGCAACACGTCACATCACACAGCTGTCAGTCCGCCATCTCTCCATCATTCCAACTTATTTTTTTGATACATTTTTAAGTAAGTGCCAGATACTATCACAGTTTACCCCGAAACCCTCGGGTGTACATGCCCCCGTGGGGTTCGTTACCTGCTGAGCTCCCGCTTGTTTATGAAGCACAGAACCGATCAGGGTTTGACCGTAAGGTGACCAGACTGGATTTCCTGTGCCTCTTGTAAACCGACTCAGAAGGTGGCACACAGGATGGATGGCAGGTGTCTGGGAGACAGTACATGCTCGTTTAGAAACTTGTGTTCCTAGGCTGACACCTCGGGTCTCGGTGGCGGCCGGCCCCCTGCCCGCGTACTTCAGAGGCCTGGGCTGCTCCTGGCCTCACTTTCCTAGTCCTTCTACCCCAGACCAAGGTGGAGGAGACCTGATAGCCGCCATCCCGTCTCCTTCTCTGTGTCCCACTTGGCCCTGCTGGCCGGGGCCCCCTTCCCTCGGAGTGGAGTGATCGTGTAGCTTCAGCGTTCCAGCCCGTCCCTGCTCCCCTGTGTGCTCGCCAGGGTTCACCTGACAAACAGAACCAGTTTTCTTTCATAACGAATCGGGTCCTGCGGTTAATACAGGCTGAGGAGTCCCAAGACCTGCTGTCATTAAGCTGAAGACCCAGAAGAGCCAGGGGCGTAGTTGGGGTCTGAAGGCTGGCAGGCTCGACAGCTTGGAAGAACCCACGTTTCCGTTTCAGGTCCTAAGTTAGAAAAGACTGATGTCCCAGCTCACACAGACAGGCAGTCCCTGCCTGTGGAAAAGCCTTTTCTTTCCAGGCTGTCAACTGATTGGACGAGGCCCACCACACAGGGAGGGTAATCAGCTTTACTGCGTGCACTGGTTTAAATGCTAATCTTACCTGGAAACACCCTCACAGGTACACCTGGATGTGTGACTGGATGTGTCATCATGGGTTGTGGTGACACCTGTTGCCAGGATAGGGCTGTCGGGCTTGTGTGCCCAGCAGAGCGAGCCGTTCGCTCTAGTGATAATTTTTAGTCTGATTGCTTTAGAGACACACCTCATGGGCAGATGCCAGGGTCCCAGCATTAGAAAAATCTCGTCCTGGCCATGCTGAGGAAAGTGGTGTCCCAGTCTCTGACCCCCTCACTGATGAGAGGCTCACCACTTCACAAGGGTGCTCACTCTGTGTCTTTTAAGGCCGCGCCATTGGTGCTGGTCACGTAGAGCCTGGGTTTCAGAGTGGCCCTGTTGCCTGTTTTATTGTGGTCTTGAAAGACATTTTCCTTCTTACGATTCTTGAGAAACTTTTTGAACGATCTGCTGAAATCCACGTTTGTGTCCAAGGCTCTGTCCCCAGCCATCACGAGTAGTTTGTCTGCAGTGCCCGCCGTGTCACTGGAGTGCAGCCCGGCCGGCCCCAGCGTGAAGACCTGCTCTCTCTCTCCCTGTAGTGCTCCATCGGTACCGACACATTCTGGGATTGTGGCAGCCGGACATCGGGCCCTACGGAGGACTGCTGAACGTGGTGGTAAGTCCGAGAGTGAGAGCGTGCTGCGTGGGCCTTCGCACGCCTTTCCCAGAGGGGCAAGCCCGCCGTCGCCTGCGGCATGATCGTCAGGGGCCCGAGGCTGTTCTGTGATTGGTTCTCAGCCTTCTCGCTGTGTCTCTGGACTTTGTGGAGCTGCGAGGGTGTTTTCCCTCCTGTACCCTGCCTCTGCCTCCTGGACACCTGGGGCCCTTGCGCTCACGCCCGTGGGGCCCTCTGGGTTTGGGGTGTGCACTAGTTTGTTGTAAACGAGGAGCCACAGGAGCCTCGGACACTTACCCTCAGGCCCTTGGGGCCACATGGAGTCATCGCAGCGGCCCTGTCACTGAGCCCTGGGGCGCACCCCAGCTGTGACTCACTGAGCACCCCTTCTATCATTCCACTCACACGTGGGAGCGCTTGTCCTGGGAGGAAGACACAGTTCAGTGGCTGGGGAGGCGCGCCGGGCTGTCGGGTCACAGTGAGTCACTCAGCGGCCACAGCGGCCTCATGACCAGGCTGGGCCTCAGAGCGACATCCGAAAGTGGGGCTGTGAGGCCCCGGTTTGAAATCTTTTCTCACCCACCGTAGTAGTAGTGGGGTCAGGCCAGTGTCCTTGATGGGTCGGGGCACCAACGGTAGACAACTTTTTGGGGAAACGTGGTTTCCACCATCTGAGGGCATCGCCTGCAGATGCCTTACCACCCGCTGTCTTAGCTTCCCCAGCGGCCGCCGTACCAGTGACCACAAACTGGGTGGCATAAATGACAGAAATGTGTTCTGTCGCTCTTCTGGAAGCCCAATGTCCTCAGTCAGTGTGTCCGATGTTTTCATTGTGCCCAGTGTCCTCCATGTGCCCGATGTCCCAGTCAGTATTCCTGATGTCCTCTGTCAGTGTGCCCGACGTTCTCAGTGTGCCCAGCGTCCTCCGTGTTCCCGACGTCCTCAGTCTTTGTGCCCCACATCCCGTCTGTGTGCTCCACGTCCTCCCATCAGTACTCCCGATGTTCATTGTCTGCGTGCCCAATGTCCTCAGTCCGTGTGCCTGACGTCTTCCATCAGTGTTCCTGGGCTGAGACCAAGGTGTTTCCGGGTCACCATGCTCCATCCAAAGACTCCAGAAAAGGATCCTTCTGCCTCTTCCAGCTACAGGGCCTCGGTGGCCCTTGGCTGTGGTCATATCCTGTACCTCTGTCTCCATCCTCACATGGCCTTTCCCCTTCCATGTGTCTCAGACCTCTGTCTGCCTCCCTCTCACAGGGCTCCAAGTGATGGATGGCATTCAGGGCCCGCCTAGATGAGCCAGAAACGTCTTAAGATCCTCAACGTCATGTTTCTTATTTATTTTTTATTTATTTATTTATTTATTTATTGGACAAACAGAGATCACAAGCAGGCAGAGAGGCAGGCAGAGAGAGGGGAAACAGGCTCCCCGCAGAGCAGAGAGCCCGATGCAGGACTCGACTCGATCCCAGGACCCTGGGATCGTGACCCAAGCCGAAGGCAGAGGCTTTAACCCACTGAGCCACCCAGGCGCCCCTAAGTCAGGTCTCTTAATCCTTTCTTCGAGATGTAAGGTGATGACGTTTGCAGGTTCCGGGGATTAGGATGGGGACTTTCTTGGGAGCTGTTACTTAGTGGTCAAGATTACAGGGAGGAAATGGGGCCTTATTGGGGAGTGATGTGGCCAATAGTACCCATCCTAGAGATCACGTTCACTAGTCAGCAGTAGGACTCTGTTTTGGGCTCCTCCTGGTTTCACGTGAAACACAAGTCCCACTTCTCTCCATCGCCTGTGAAACACACACAGGCCGAGTCTAATCACGGGGACCTCTTCACACAGACAGACCCCGAGGGTCAGGCCCCAGAGGCTCTACCCTCTGCCTTCCGAGTATCAGGCTCACCAAAGGCCAGGAGGGCTGCTGAGCTAAGAGCCGTGGTCCTGGTAACCATCCCCAGTGTGGGGAGAAAGGGGCCCGGGGCCCGCAGACGAGGACCAGAGGGGGCAGCCTGCCCAGTGGGAGTGGAGGTTGCCTTGGAAGCAGGCGTCCGTCCTTCCAGCAGCCTGACTGACGTCCCATGAGGGGACCTCCCTGCCCGGCTCTGCTGGGAGCACAGTGTTTCTGGTTTCAGCCGCCGGGTCTTCCTGACTCTGGCTGTCTGCTGCTTCCCTGGCCCCTGTGCACCTGCCCTTCTCCCTGCAGTGGTCAACAGTGTTGTTAACGAGTTATGAGCTGGATGATTCCCGTCCCTCAGATGGGGTTGATCTGGTCGGGCAGACAGGGTGTCCAGGAGGACCGCTGGGTCTCTTAGGGATGTGCTGTAGCTCTGTGTCTAAGGTCCCAGTGCTGGGTCCCCCTGCCCTGCGCTGGGAGTTCCCTGAGGACTCCTGCCCTGGCTTCTCGGAGCGGGGTGGTCTAGCATGCTGCCCAGCTGGCACTGGGCTCGGTGAGTTGTTGGAACCCGGGTCCCTTGGCAGATCCTTGGGCTCTGTCTTTGCACAGCTCCTTCCTTTCTGGGACTTTGACCCCCACACTCCAGCCCCGCCAGCCCCCAGAGCTCCGGTCTCTGGTTGCTTAGGTTGGAGCACTGCCCAGTTCTGCCTGGCCTGTGAGCCCTGGGGTCTGGAAGGTGCCTCTGGCAGGAATCCAGGGGGAGGCGGGGATCACCTCTTTCATTCTCTGGGATCACAGCCCTGCGTGGCCTGTTGTCCGGGGTCGCCTTGGAGTTCACGGCGGTCCCTGTTACTCCACTGTGGTCAGGATGTAAGTTTGGCTTATTTTTTCTTTTTTGGTGACCTTTGTTTTCCTTATTGTGTCTTCTTGAATGTCTCAAAGTTCCGTAAAGTCCATGATCTCCATTTCAGTTCATAGTTTGCTCTTACCCTCTGGGTTTTCAGGCGTGGTCGTAGGGCTGCTGGTGCACTCGCACACGCGGCTGTGGACGCTGCTGCCCCCAGAGGGTGCCCGGCCTCTGGCCTGCGGTCCCAGCCAGCAGCGCGCCTGGCCCCGACCAGGTGTGGTGAGGGCCAGTGTCGTTCCTGGCGGCCCCTCCACAGCACGTCCCCGGAGGGCTGGGCGCCTGCCGCTCTCCAGGGCCTGTGTTTCTGCTCCTGGGGAAGGGATCCTGCCGCTCTGTCCTGGCGGGTTGGTCTCTTGGCAGGCGCTCTCTGCTTGGCGTCCGCACCTCCCGCCCCTCACAGGTTGGGACCCAGAGCCGTAGACACTGTGGGGCCCTCTTCCTTGGGATCCTGCCCGAGAGCCCTGGCCTCTGTGGCGGCCTGGGGGGTCAGCCCCCTGCAGTCGGGGACCTGGGGCATAGGGGTGGGAGGCCCTGCCCCCTTGGGCTCGCCTCAAGCCTGTCCCTTGTTTTCAGGCTCTCGTTTCTTGTCGTGGGGCCGCCGAGCGTGCCCCCTGGTGTTTCGGGAGCGTTTGGGCTGCGGCGTGGGCGGCCCTCACAGCCGGTGGCAGCAGGCGGGGCATCTGGTGTAAGGCCCTGGGTTCTAGGCCCGAGAAGGTCCTGCCGTCGTCTCCTGTAGATTCTGCCCAGTCGCTTGCCAGCCGTGTTTTGGTGCTTTACGGGCACCTGGACCGTAGGCACTTGGCCGGGTCTCTCTGGTGCGGCCATCCTCACTGCACCGGCCTGCCGGGTGCTGTCTGCGCAGAAGCCCTGGGACGCGGTGTCTGGGAGCCTGGCCCCATGTCGCTGCAGCTGAAGGCCCGCTGGGAGTGAAGCCTGGAGCCCCGTGGGGAGTGCTGGCGTTCTGGTCTTGCTTCCCCTCTGGGCGCCCGACCTCTGCAGGCCGGAGGCCCTAGTCCGCAGGACCGGCCACGAGTGCGTCTCACAGACGGCACGTCGGGGCCTCGGTGTGGGCCTTTCCCAGCCTGCCTCACGTGGGTGCCCGGGGACCCTGGAGCTCAGACACTCTGTCTTGTGCTCACCAGGTGTGGTTTTGGATAGGGATAAATGCTGCTTCGTGTTCCTTATGATTCGGTGGAAACCTCCATGACGAAACACGTTTTCTGTCCTTGTCTGACATCGCAGGGGAAAGCCTCACATTTAGGACGCTCCCCGCAGGACAAGCCAGACCGCTCCCCGCGTGGGCAGGCTGCCTTCCGTGCTTTAGGCGGGGAGGGTGATCATTGTTTTTCTCGCTTGTGGTGACTAATAAAGTTAAAAGAAAATACTGCAGCTTCTGAAAGCCGGGGATAATCACGGGAAACGGAGTCACGCCAGACGAGTGCCAGGTCGCACTCGTCAGATCGGACCGGATCGCCACGGAAGTGGGTGAGACAGAGCCAGCCTCTGGACACCCACATCCCCGACTGCGGGGCTGGCCCTCCGGCCTCTGGGAAGGTGCCGCGTGCTGTGCCTGGGCACCACTCCCTGCTCTGACCCTATGTCCACCACGGCCACCCCGTCGGGTGCCTTGGAAGACTGACGGCAGCGTGGACGCCTCCTGTGGTCAGGCACGGCAAAGCCCGTGGGAACTGCCTCCTCCCTTTGCCTCTGATTTTCAGGGTTCTTAGAGCGGATCCCAGGCCCACGGCATTTCGTCTGTGCGGACCTTTAAGGGGTGTGGGTGTTTCCTTGCACGTGGGCCTTGTCCCTGCCCCGCCCTGCAGATGTGGCAGGGACACTGTGACAAGGCCTGAGGCCTGGTCTACGTCGTCTTCCGGACGGCCGCAGAGCGGCCTGTGCACGGCGGCTTGGAGCTGGGTCTGCAGCGCCGGCGTGCGGCGTCCGTGTGTGCCTCGCGGGGCTCTGCTGCCCGAGGCAGCCCCCTGACCCCTGTGTTGGGCGGGTTTGGTGCTTCCTGGGCGCCTCCTGCTGCGGCCCAGCGCCGACCGGCCCGTCCCTCCGACTTCAGACCTGGCCCTGCTCTCCGCGAGGCTTGCTTTTAGGTGTAGGTTGAACTATTTTTTTTTCACCTTATTTTTCAAACAAAACTTGCTTGTTTTCTCTTTCGGAATTTTCTCTCTTACGGAGGCGCGGACCTCGGGATTACGTGGGCTTCGGCTGGGCGACGCGGTCCGCTGGGCTGTGCTCACCAGCGCCGCCGCTGACTTACCCCGCGGCCGCTCGTCGAGCCGCCGGCCACCCGCCCGCCCGCCCGCCCCTCCCCTCCGCCCGTCCTGCCGCCACCTGCACCCAGTGATATGTGTTTGTTCTCTGTATCTGTCCACCTCTTCCTGCTGCTTTTGTCCGTCTTCTTTCTTAAACTCCACGTGTGGGTGAAACCGGTTTGTTTTTGGCTGACGCAGTCCACTTAGCACACGACCCTCTAGGTCCATCCGTGTCATTGCAAATGGCAAGATTTCGTCCTTTCTGACGGCCGAGCGGCGTGTCACGGTACATACACCACGTCTTTGTCTGTCCCCCTGTCGGTGGCACGGGGGCCGCTCCTGCATCTCGGCCGCTGTAGATAAGGCTGCGGGCACGTGTCCCTTTATTTCCAGCGGGCAGGTGGGATCGTAAGGTGTGTGACGAGCCCCTCGCCGCAGCTGATATCTGTCCCTGCTGGGCAAGGATTCTGCCCCCTCACGCTGCCATTCTCTCTGGCTGAAAGCATGTAGGTCCCGCTCTCCCAGAAGGTCTTGGTGTCGGCGCAGTGCTGTTGGTGACCATCACCCGGTCTCCAGGCAATAACCACTTCTACTTACCGGGCGCTGGGTAGGTGGGCCGTGCTGGTTGTGGTGACTAGGTGGGCTCCTGGCCCCGAGAGTCTCCATGGGGCTGCCGCGTGGAGGCCAGGGTGGTCCTTGGGGACCCGGTCCCGCCCGTCCTGGCCCCTCCTCCCAAGCCCTGTGTGGACTCGTGGCCGTTCTCCTCCCCGCAGGTGGATGGCTTGTTCATCATCGGCTGGATGTACCTGCCCCCCCATGACCCACATGTGGACGACCCGATGCGATTCAAGCCTCTGTTCAGAGTCCACCTGATGGAGAGAAAGTCGGCCACGGTGGAGTGCATGTATGGCCACAGAGGGCCGCACAACGGCCACATCCAGGTGAGCAGGGCCCCCAAGGCCTGGCAGCCGTGTACAGGCGAGGGGCTGGGGCCCTTCTGTCCTTCCCGGTCCCAGGGGCAGGCGGCGTGCGGTGCTGGCTGGTGGTGGTGTTCCCAGCTACAGACCCGTGTCCACACCAAGCAGTGAATGTGGGAGGAGGTGGGGCTCGGTCCACCTGGGGTGCGTTTCCCGTGTGTGTGCTGTGATGCCCCCGCCCCCCAGGATTATGTGTTCAGTTGGGATCGATTGCTGTTTTTGTTGTGATTCCAACCCCTTTGGCCTCCTCTTCGCAAGAGCGTGAGCTCGGACTAAGACGCTCTGCCCTCTGGGAACGTTCTGGCAGGCGGCCACCCCAGGAAGCACAGGTGTTGCCTAACATGACAAAAGCACCAGGCCCCCTTTCCTGCCGTAGGGTGTCCTCCTGGGAAGATGCATGTCACCTTCCCCTGGGAAGGATGTGCATGCTCAGGGTGCCTCTGAGGTCCCTTCTTTGGATGGGCCACGACTCGGTGGCCTCTTGGGCTCCGGCACGCGTGTGGGGGCTTGGGTGTGGGAGAGGCTGACCCTGCCGCCCGTGGCTGACTCGGTTCCCTCTCCTCTGTGGCGAATGCTCAAGATCGTGAAGAAGGATGAGTTCTCCACCAAGTGCAACCAGACGGACCACCACAGGATGTCTGGCGGGAGGCAGGAGGTGAGCCTCTACCCCCCTTCTGTTCACAGGGCACGGGCGTGAGGGCGAACGGTTTCACATCGCCAGTGTGCGCCCAGCGGAGGGCCGTCTCCCTGGCTCAGCCCGGTCCGTGCATCTGACCCTTCGTCAGGGCGTCCTGTGCACGTGTCCACGCGGACAGGCTTTCGTTCCCCGCCGCCCCTTGGATTGATCGAGCCCAGGAGGAATCGTTCCTCTGATTGGCTCTCTTTCGCCCCCTTGGCCAGAGTGCCCGTGCTGCTGGAGGTTCCTTCTTGGGTGTGAGTTGGCGGGGAGCCTCTGTGTCCTCCCCATGGACGGGCTTGGGGCTGACTCCCGGGTCTCGGCGGTGCTGCGGGGAGGCTGGTCTCTGAGCCACACCCGCGAGTTTCTTGGGATTTCCTTTTATCTGCACGGGTGCTGTCTCCTCGCCTTTGAGTTTGCCTTTCGGGAGGATCCAGGTCACACATACGGCCATTCCAGAAAGTTCTTAAGAAAGCTGGACTTTTGGGGCGCCTGGGTGGCTCAGTGGGTTTAGCCTCTGCCTTTGGCTCAGCTCATGATCTCAGGGTCCTGGGATCGAGCCCCGCATTGGGCTCTCTGCTCGGCCTGGAGTGTGCTTCTCCCTCTCTCTGCCTGCTTCTCTGCCTGCTTGTGGTCTCTGTCAGATAAATAAGAAAGCTGGACTTTGGGAAAGCAGGGTCCCTGTTGAGCTGACAGTTAATCGTTGGCTGCGCACTTCTCAGGTTCTGAGTCCGACAGCTTCCCCGTGAGCCTCGGAATTGCAGGGAGGTGTGAGGTAAAGTCATACACACGCAGATGTTAGTTTCCTGGGCCTCCTCGACCGCCCACCAGGGTGGGTGAGCCCCTGGCTTCCTGTGCTCCGGACGGCCTTCGTCTTGGCCCTGGCGGAAACAAGGCCACTTAGCCTGTGGCCCGGGGAGTAGCTCTGACTCTGCCACGGACCAGCTGGGTTGCTCAAACTGTAGAACAGGGAGGGTGTGTGCACCCATCTCCTGGGCCGGTGTGCACACGCAGGTGGTGGTTCCATAGAGCCGGTGCCCGGTGAGCGAGCTCAGATCAATGTTCCTCCTGTCTTGGTGCTCTGGGCCCCTGTGTTTTTCCTTGGGCATGCGTCGCTCAGGAGATAATTTCGTAATGAACATATCTCTGAGGTCTGTGTTCTGAGTAATTGGGTCTGGTATTTGGGTATTGGGTAATTGGTATCTCTAATGACTCTGACCTTTCCAGGGGAAGTAAATAAGATGATGACTCCTCACAAGCCGGGCTCGGTGTGCGCAGCGCGTCTGATACTCAGCACGGGAGCGTCTGGGCTGACTCGCAGCATTAGCTCCCTTCGTTCCTGGCTCTTCCTTATCCGTTTGGTTTTCGGGGCCTTACTCCATCTAAGTGGACGGGTTTGAAGTCTAATGTGTTAAGTTTTTTCTTGTATGATTGTTGTTTTCTGTGTCTTAGAAGACTCTGCCTGTCCCCAGGTTGCAGAGTCTCCTCTTCAGAAGTTGGGTAGCTTCGTGCTGTGTCTGGGTCCACAGTCCATCTGGAATTACTTCCTGTATGTGGTGTGAGGCAGGGATCGTGGTTCCTGTTCTCTGTGTGGATGTCCAGCTCCTGGAGCATCATTTGTGGAAGAGACTTTGATTTCCCACGGGTGGACTGGCTGTATTTGTCGGAAGGCAGCTGACCAGATAGCGGGGCCTGTCTCTGGGCTCTCTGTCTTGATCGTTGGTGGTTCATTGACCCCGGGGTTGGTACTGCTGTCTCAGTTCCTGCAGCTTCATAGTAGGCAGACGTGATCTCGGTGCGGTTCCTCCAGCTTGGTTCTTTTGCGATTGTTTCGGACGTTGTAGATTCTTTTCACTTCCCTAAGAATTTCACAATTGTCAGTTTGTACAGAGACCCTGGTGGGACTGGGGCTGTCATGGCGTTGAGTCCTCGGATGACCTTGGAGAGAACTGTTGGCTTGGTACCGGGTCCTCCGGTCCACGGGCACCTGTATTGTGGGGGTGTCTCCGTTTCCTTCTGCCAGGCCCATGGCTGTCAGAGAAGGGGTCGTGCACATGCCTGCTAACACGTATTCCCGAGTCATAAGTTGTTGGAGGCTGCTGGAAATGGGACTTAAAACCCTCCGTTGTTCAACTTCGTGCTGCTGGGATAGAAACGTGCAGTTGATCGTACGTAATGAGCTTGAGGCTCCGAAGCCGCGTGCTCTGGTTGCTGTGGTGAGGGGTTTCCGTGTGTGGCCAGGGTTTGGGCAGGAACATACTAAAGGAACCTACAGGCTGTAGCTCTCCTGGTTTGTCGTTGTTCAATCACGTTTGCTTCTGTTCGTGGAGCTAACTCAGGACGGTCCTTAGAAACACTGTATGGAGCTAAGAACCGAGCTGTGGATTAGTTACGGATTCGTGACTGAGCTTCGAGGACACAGTGTTTGTACAAGCTCCCTTTTCACAAATCACCTTCCTGAACGTGTAACATAACCGGGAAGGCGCGTCTGCCCCACCCTGCCACCCCCGCCATTCCTGTTTTGTTCTTCGGCAGTGGCAGAAAGCAGCTCTGGCCCGTGTGGCCAGCACGGGGGTCAGCGACAAGAGTCCTGCTGTGCTCCCGCTTTCCTAGAAGCCCCTGAACAGGCTCAGTGTAGACACTGCGTGTCCTGTGAGTGGCCACAGAAGTGAGACTCCCGTGGATGCTACCGAGGAGCTCCGGACACGGGCTGTGGCCGCAGCCTTGCCTGAAAGGATCCCACAGTCCCTGTTGTTGCCTGTTGAAGTCTGGGCCTGTGTGCTCTGGGAAAGCGGGAGCGTAGCCCCTCACCTTCCTTTGGTGGCTGACCTCCCCAGGAAGGAAGTCAGGGACTCAGAGAGCAAAGTGTGGCAGCCCCCTCCTGTCCAGCCTTCGTCTCCGTCCTGTCCGCCCCGCTGGGACTTGGGCATTGCTGTGCCCGCGGCATCACCCCAGCTGTAAGAATGCTGCCTTTGCGCACTCAGTGCCACAGTGAGCAGTCCTCCCTGCTGGTCGTGGCGTTTTCGTAACCTCTGCTCTTTTGGAAGGAATTCCGAACGTGGCTGCGGGAGGAGTGGGGGCGGACGCTGGAGGACATTTTCCACGAGCACATGCAGGAGCTCATCCTCATGAAGTTCATCTATACCAGTCAGTACGAGTGAGTGCGGCCCCCGTGGTCCCGTCCGTGAGCGCAGTCCCTGACCCCTGACCCCTGCCCCCTGCCTCCCCGTCGGTGTCGGTTTTCTGTCGGGTTCTCATCACCTACCAGCCGGTGCTCGGCCAGCCCCGCCCGTGTGCTGGGGCCTTGGGGTGGTTTCCCCACGTCTGCGGGGGGAGCCCTCCTCTTTTAGCTGCTCTCCCTGCCTCGGCCTCTGCCCCACGCCCTGTTCCCGTGACCCATTGAAATAGGCCTTGCGTGGTGACTGTGCCCTTCGCCATCTCCGGGGCTCCTCTCCTGTGCCAGGCTGGCGGAGTGGGAGTGGCAGCCCCTCCCCCTTAGAGAGCGTCGCCCACCCCAGTTCCCTTGCCGTGCTGCTAGCGCGAATGTGTGCCTGCTCAACCTGGTGGGATCCGAGCAGGTGTGAGATGGGCCCTGCAAGCGTTCGGGGGGGCTAGGAATGCGGGTGCCCCTGTTCTGCCCGGCTGTGCTAGGCTACCCTGCCCCTCCCGCCCTCCCTCACACGGCAGCTTGGCGAGTGCGGTCCGTACTTGGGCCTGCCCGCCGAGCCGCTCTCACGCCACCGGTTTCCCCCACAGCAACTGCCTGACCTACCGCCGCATCTACCTCCCGCCCAGCCACCCGGATGACCTCATCAGACCCGGCCTCTTCAAAGGCACTTACGGCAGCCACGGCCTGGAGATCGTCATGCTTAGCTTCCACGGGAAGCGTGCCCGGGGCACGAAGATCACGGTGAGTCCGGGCGCTGCCTGGCGGGTCCCGCTCTGTGAACTCAGTCTGAGCGGCTGCGTGGTATCGAGGCTCGGGCTGTGCCCTGGCTGCTCAGGGTGGGCTCTGGACCCCTGGCGGCCTGCACTGGGGAGTGGGTTGGGAATGCCGATTGGGAGTGCGCCCTGCCCCCCGCCCCACAGACCCACTGAACCAGAATTTGCATTTCACAACACCTCCAGGGCGTTTGGAGCATTTCCAAGGTGGTTTTTTTTTTTTTTTTTTTAAAGATTTTATTTATTTATTTGACAGAGAGAGATCACAAGTAGACAGAGAGGCAGGCAGAGAGAGGGAGGGAAGCAGGCTCCCTGCCAAGCAGAGAGCCCGATGCGGGACTCGATCCCAGGACCCCGAGATCATGACCCAAGCCGAAGGCAGCAGCTTAACCCACTGAGCCACCCAGGTGCCCCCCAAGGTGGTTTTATCTGCAGCTCCCGGTCCTGGCCACGGCCACACGCTGAATCCCTAGGGATGTGAGAAAACCCTGAGGCCGGGTCCTGGAGATTCTGATTCAGTGGGGCGGGGCTCCCTGAGCGTCCCGGTGGCTCTGAGGTGCCACCCCGTTGGAGACCGCCCGCACTGTTACACGGGCTCCTGCTGCCATCCTGGCCCAGCAGCCGACCAACATGGTCGGAGGGCTGTTGAGCAGAGCAGGGGTCTCGGAGCAGCTGGACACCGGGCCTGCTCCAGGGGCCCAGGCCACACCGCGCTCACCTGCAATTTGCGTAGTTGGGGTGTTTCTGGCCAGCGCACTCACGGGTCCCGGGCGCAGTGCCTGTTCTTTGCTCTCACGGAGCTGCGCTCTTGGACTTGGGTTGGCCGGGCCTGGCGCTCTGGGACGGCTCCTTGTGTGCAGAGCCCAGCACTGGGGCCCCGTGGGGCCGCTGGGCCTGCAGGTTCTCCCAGGTTCAGGCTCAGGAGCGTTTGTGTGTCGGGCGGACAGGTCGGGGCCGGCGTTCAGGTCTCCCCTGCCGTCCCTGGGAGGGTCTGTGCCCTTCTCTAAGCCCTGGTGTTCTAGAACGGGAGCTGTTTCACACCAGGAGGTCCCAGGTGCATGAGAGCCACTCCGCCGGGTGTCTGCACCTCCCGAGGTCACTCGGGTGCCTTCAGGCCCTAGTTTCCAAGATGCCTTCGCAGACGAGGTGTGCGCCGTGGGCACGTACTTTGAGGACTCATGAAATGTTCTTACATCAGAAGGGGTGCTGCTAAGTCCGTGGGAGCGCTGGAGTGAGCTCGCAGGGCTGGGGGCGTGATCGTGGCAGGAACCATGCAGAGTGTGTCGCAGCCGTTCCTTGAGCCCCGCTGACGGCTGCGTGCTCGCTCCGCAGGGTGACCCGAACATCCCCGCCGGGCAGCAGACGGTCGAGATCGACCTCAGGCACCGCATCCAGCTGCCTGACGTGGAGAGCCTGCGCAGCTTCAGCGAGCTCTCCCGTCTCGTCCTGGACGTGCGGGAGCGGCTGCGCCAGGAGCAGCAGCAGCAGGAGAGCAGGCTGGAGGACGGCGAGGCCGGAGGACAGCAGAGCCCCCGAGAGGCCCAGCGGGGCCCTGCCCAGCCCGGCGCGGAGCTGCCTGCCGAGAAGGTCGGGGAGGCCGGGGGAGCCGAGGCTGCGGGTGCCCAGCCTGGGCAGGGACAGCCCTTTGTGTTGCCTGTGGGCGTGAGCTCGAGGAACGAGGACTACCCCCGCACCTGCAGGATGTGGTAAGAGAGCCGGGGTGGGGCGCAGCGGGCCTTAGGGGAGTCCTGCCTCCCCACCCGGCATGGAGACGGGCTGTGGGGGCCGGCTCGGCGCTGGCCAGTGTGGGGCTCCCTGCACCCGGGCGGGGAGCCCCTGACCGCTCTGTGTGGGTCCCAGCTTGGGCTCGAGGACAGCGTCCTTCCCTGGGCTGCACAGACTTCAGAGGCTCCCGACCTCTTCCCCCCGGGGAGCCTCCAGGCTTACTAGAACTGCCAGGATGGAGGCCTCCTCCTCCTAGTGCCTTGTGTCGCCTCAGCGGTCAGGTGAAGGGTAGGCAGGCGAGCCTGCAGTGGCCTTGGAAGGAGCCAGTGAGGAGGGGGCCCTTCTGCACCTGTTCCCCAGGGAGCCGGCTTGAGTTCGGCTGGATGTCCTTGTGGGTGAGGCCCCCGCTGAGCACACTCCAGGGTCAGCCGTCTGTGTCTTCGGTGGTTTCTGTCCCGGCTCAGAAAGCGTGCGCAGAGGGCTGGCGGCGCACTCCTGCCCCGGGGCTGGCCTGTTCTTGGCTTGACCGCGGCTCTTATGGTTTTGTCTTGGGCCACTGTTCTCGGCCGCTCAGGCCCCCCTGCCCCAGCCCTCTACGCTTCGGGGCTTCTTAGGTGTCGACGAACCAGAACAAACAAAACCACAGACTCAGGTCCTCCATCGCGCTGGCCACATCTCAGGTGCCAGCAGCCACGTGTGTATTTGGACAGTGCGGGTCTAGAACATTCCATCCCTGCAGAAAGTTCTCCTGCACAGTTGCCCTAGGGGATGTTCTGAGGCGATGACCTGTCTGTCTCCTGGCGTCATAGCTGCCTGGCCTCCGTGTCTGTCCAGTAGGCTGGAAAGGTCTGTTTCCTTGACTTCCGGGCTGACTGCTGGCTCGTGCTGGTGGTGGTCTGACTGGCGCGTCACGTGGGGCGTAGGTGTGGCCAGGGCTCTGACTCCCGAGGGAGGATTTAGGTGTCTGTGTGGGCTTGCTGGGTTCTGAACACCCGGTGCCGGTTCGGGGGTGCCCCTGACACCAGCACGCAGTTCTCCACGACGCCAGCTTGGTGTCTGGCCACTGGATTCAGTCCTGACGCTGCCCCCACAGAGACGGGGTCAGACCCGGCAAGACTGCCTCTGTCCCCTCAGACACCAGTCCGAAGTCCTCAGCCGTGCTCGTGACCAACCAGCTTTATGTCGGGGGTCCCCGCGAGCTGCTCAGGTTCGGTTCATGTGCTGGGGCAGCTCACAGAATTCAGACAAACACTACGTCTGCCATTTCGTTGAAGGAGCTGAGAAAGGACGCTGGTGGACGGCCACAGGCGGAGATGCGTAGGGTCCCGCGTGCAGCAGCCTTCACCCCCGGGGACTGGGTGCATGTAGCTGTCCCCCACCTGGGAGCTCCCCGAGCCCCTTATTTGCGGATGTCACGGAGGCTTCCTCACAGAGGCCTGGCCAGTTGTCAGCTCCGTCTCCAGCCCTTCTCTCGTCTGGAGAAAGGCAGGGCTGCTCAAGGTTCCAGGCTTCCGTTCCTGGCTGGTCCCTTCCTAGTCAGATCCCTCCTAGTGTTCCTATCCCTTAGGACTCTTGTGTTCGGGAGCTGGTGCCAGGCCCTAGGGCAGAGATCAGCACACGTACTCTAACGTTACCTCCCACGGGGGAGATCCATGTCATTTTCCCTCATGTTACACAATTACCACAAAAGTGGCTGAATTCGGGTTTTCCTAGAGGAGGTCTACAAGTGGTGTTTCAGTATGATTTCGACTGTTGTGAGCTTCTCAGTGGTCATAAAAGAGAAGGGCTCTGCTGTCCTTATGAGACTGGACAGCTCGCGGTGTCTCGTGGCCGGCCGAGAGCCCCGTGGGCTCCGTTGGGTGCTGTCAGGCCCGCCCTGCAGTGAAGGCATGGGGTGTGCTGCACACTGGTCTCGGGACCTGGGAGGGGTGTGCTGTGGCCCCTTGCCTGCTGGATCTGTGTGTCTGTAAGGCCTTGCTGCAGTGCGGATGGGGGACATGGCTGTCCCCAGTACGAACCTCAGCGGGCCTCACTCTGCCTCCCTGTGGGTTCTGGTGCCACTTTCCCCACCCGAGAGTCCCGTGAACCACACGCCCTCATGCACAGGCCTGTTCTCCCTCTCCTGCCCAGGGGAGCCTGGGCGTGGTGGGTGGAGTTTGGGGTGCTGGCCGCCATTCTGTGTGCTGGGAGATCGGGCCGGCTCCTGGCTCCTCATTATCTCTATGAGCCCCAGTTTCTGGGCAAGAAAGACATAAATGCATCTCATCTCAGTCCCACATTGCTCTTGAAACTTGAACCTTGGCCCTTACGGGTACTTGAAAGTTCTGCCGTCTGAGCTCATGATTGCGTGCTGGTAGATCGGTATTGACTGTATTGGAGTCGTTGATGTGCTGACGCAGCTGTCCTGGGAATTCAGGCTTCAGTACCGGGGCCGGCTTTACGAAGCTGGACTTCGGAGCAGAAGTACACGGCGGGGCTGCCCGAGACCCCCTTTCTTGGGCTGGGTGAGCTGGTGGGAGAGCGGCGGGCAGGGGTGAGCCTGACCGCGGGCCCACGACTCCGCGCACTGGCGCTTCGAGATGCTTGCTGGTCCAGACGATGGGCTGTCTGGGGCTCCGTGACGTGCTGCTTCCTGCTGGCGGGGCGGAGGGCCGGCCTGTGGTGTGGGGCGCTGCAGCAGGGGCTGATGAGGCAGCACAGGGCCCAGCGCCCTCCTTTCAGGCACTCACTCTCCTCCCGGCGCTTTCCCTCTTGTCTTGGCACAGCTTCTACGGCACAGGCCTCATCGCCGGCCATGGCTTCACCAGCCCCGAGCGCACCCCTGGGGTCTTCATCCTGTTCGACGAGGACCGTTTTGGGTTCATCTGGCTGGAGCTGAAATCCTTCAGCCTGTACAGCAGGGTGCAGGCCACCTTCCGGAATGCAGAGGCGCCGTCCCCACAGGCCTTCGAGGAGATGCTGAAGAACATCCAGTCCCTGACCTCCTGACGGGCCGCCTCCCTGTGGGCGGCCCCCACGGCCCTGGGCCCTGCGCCTGGGAGAGGAAGCAGCACGCACTTTGGAGAGTTGGCCTCTGACCAGAGCACCCACCTCGTAGGAGTCTCGGCCCAGCCCCCCCGGACTCTTTGTACAGAGTGTGTGACGTTTGCGTGTGTCCTGTCGGGAGCTCGTGGGAAGGTTGACTGAGCATGTCTTACGGAAAGAAACAACCAGAAGAGGACTGATGGAGAGGGCCGGCTGCAGAGATTTTGAACAACTCAAGTGGAGAAAGTGGGCTTGCCCTCGGCCTGCGGACTTCAGGGACAGCCCGAGCGACCCTGGGGGCTGCACAGAGGCATCGTGTGTGGGTGTGCCAGCTGGAGGCAAGGGACAGGGGCTGCAGGCTGGCAGGGGCCTGGGGTGAGGGCAGTCTGGGTGGGGGGCAGTGTGTGCATAAAGGGAGCTCCGGGAGGGTCTGGAATGCTGGGCCAGGACCCTGGACTGAATTCCCATTTCTCTACTAACCTGCTTGGATTTTAGACAAACGCGGTTCAGCTCTGACGTGTCTGGGCAGCAGCGCAGGGGGCCCGTGATGCGGGCCGTAGGCAGTGGCGGCTTGCTCGCCCTGGTCTCTGCGGCTTTAGAGTCAGGACCTTCGCTGCAGCCAGTCCCGCGCAGGCGTTTATTCGCACACCCCCACCCACCTCCTGCCCACACGCTGGCGTCAGAACCCCGAGCTCAGCCACTTGTCCCAGGACCTGCCCCGGACTCGGCAGGGCCACGTCCGAAACAGCTCCGCGTTCCCCATGTGCAGGGCGCACCCGGTGCTGCTGTTCCCAGGCCTGAGCAGCAGAGCCCATGCGCAGAGGACCTTGGCCCCCCTCTGCAGGACGCAGGGCAGCTTTCTAGACGTCACGCCCATGGACGGAATGCACTGTGGACACCAGGGCCTCATGGGATCCTCCAGGGCGGGGACCCCGATGACGGACGCTCCTGCGGGTGCTGTACCTGTGTGTCCTGCTGACACCTGCTTTTGGGGCCACCGTAAGGTCTCTGCTGATCTTAGTGTCTCCTGAGAACAGAGCCCGGAATGCACGCAGACCCCCAAGAATTCGTAGCAGCTCCGCCTCTGGCCTGCAGAGAGCTGTCCCCACGCTCACCTTCCATGGGGGCGGCTTCACGGGCATGGCAGACCGCCTGTCTCCCTCTGTGATGCTCGTCCTTGCTGGGCAGACTGCGCCGGGCCCCCACACTGGGGGCGAGGGACCCCAGGGAAGGGGGCAGCTTTGTGGTGCCTTCCTGTAGAGACCAACGTGAGATGTCCCATGAAACCTGTTTTCCTGACGAATTTCTCCCTGACTGGCCTTTTTTAAAAATAAAAAGTCCCTATTGCTCTAGCTTCAGTACCTTTGGCAATTCTGGACTCCCTTTGCTTCCCGGAATCGTAGAGTGGGGGAGCTCTGGGGCATGTCCCTAAACGACAGACTTGTGAGGAGGTTCTTCCCGGCCTCCCGACTCGGGAGGGAGGTGAGCCTCTGGCCGGCTGTCGGAGACACGATGGCTCACGTCCCACATCCGTCCAGCAGGTCCTGAGGCGGGGTCCCAGTTTTCGTGTATTCCGCAGGACTGAGCCTCCAGGCGCTGTCACCCTCCCACCCTGGTGGCTGTCGCTGTGTGTCCTGTGGCAGGCATGGCTGCTCCGGCATGGTGTCGCCGAGGCGTGAAGCCTCAGGGAGAACAGAGTGAAGGCCAGTGGGGCGTGTGGTGACAGCACTCCACGTTGCGCCCCAGCCCGAGGCCGCCTCTTGTGTGTACGGCCCACTCAGACTGAAGATGAGCCTTTTTGATGAAAAACTAATCTTGAACCCAGACGGTAGAACCTGCCTCTGGAGTGTGGGCCTCTCCTTGGGTTCCGCTAGCAGCGGCTGTTGGCTCCATTCCCATGGGTCCCTGTCTCTGGCGTTAGGCAGGGCCCCAGGGCCCTGTAGGGCCGAACGGCTCAGCAGTGGCCTGGGTGAGGGTCTATCGCTGCACAGCAGGGCATCCGGCGTACTTCGTTTCCCACTTGGAAACTGTTTGCAGCTGGGTAGGGAGCGTGTGGAGCCCGTGCAAACCAGCCCTACTGGGCGTGCCTCAGCGCAGAGCAGGCAGCCGGCCCACCCGGGCAGCCTCCAGCCGGGAATTGGTTGCAGGTGAGGATTCAGAAAGGCAGAGGTCGTGGTTGGAAGCCTGGAGGCGGCTGGGGGTTGGGTAGCGCACGTCCCCATAAGGAACCTGAATGACCCGACTTAGGGACTGTCGTGCCCATGTGTTGCTTGATTTGGGGCCGGTGAAGGGGGCCTGGATGGGTGTGGCCATCTTCCCTGCTTGGCACCCCCGTACCGGCCACTGTGCTGCTGTGAGGGGGTAAGTCTGTTGCGGTCCGAGCGGCAGGAGGGGAGCCTCAGGTGCGTGTCTGCATTCCTGGGCACGTGCCGTTCTGCGACTCCATAGGGAATGATGTGATCAGAGACGGCAGATGTCAGTCTGGAGATTCTCACGCATCGGGGCAGCATGGTCAGTGCGGGAAGCTTTTGCAAATGACCTTTTTTCTGGCTCTGACTCAGGCCTGGTGGTCTGTTTGGTTATGTGGCCTGCCCAGCTCACACCTGCAGTGTCTGCTGCTGGGTGGTAGCAGGTCTGGAGGCCTCGTGGTGGTGGGACTTCCAGATCCTCCCTCCCGCAGCCCAGACGGGGCCTCACTTCCCGGCCTCGCCCCTCGGTCCCTCCGTCAGGGCGGGGCTCACTGTGGCTCCCGCCGCTCCCTCCCTTACCTCCTGCCCCAATCCACGCAGCTTAGGCGGGGCGCCTGGACCCCTGGCATTCCTCTTGGGGAAGGAGGAGGATGGGCGCACGCCCAAGGTGGGCTAACTTGAGAAGCCGGCCAGACCTCCGTCCCTGCTCTATGCAGAACACGCTCTGAGCTGGAGTTGCCTGTCCGACGTTCTCTCTGCCTGAGAACCTGAGGTGTGCTGCTGTGGCCTGGTCGGGTAAGGCCCCTCCCTGGGGTGTGCTGCTGTGGCCTGGTCGGGTAAGGCCCGTCGCTCAGCCACCCCGTTCTGTGGCCCCGGCGGCTGCAGCGGTTCCGGGCCGGTGTTCAGACGGTGGGCGGCCTGTGTGTTCTCACGCTGCCCTCGTGCCCACAAGCAGTGACGGAGAGGAGCTGCTTTAGTCCCTTGCCTTGGTGAACCCGGTCACGGGGATCTCGGAATTTCTGAGCTTCTCATGCTGCGCTGTCCGGTGTGTGGGAGATGAGCTCCCCTTGTAGACCCGGTGCTTTGAGGAAGGGCCCTGTTCTGTCTTCGTGCTCTAACTTTGAGGAATGCTTACAGGAACGTTCTCAGCCCTCCCTGGCTTGTGGCTCGTGCACCCCAGTGCGCGGCCAGTCCCAGAGTTGACTGTACGTCCTTAGAAGTATTTCGAAAGTAGAAATAAGCCACGGCGCGGTCAGTTAGCTGCAGCTGCGAACGGGAGCAAGACCGTGCCCACTTACCGAGTGCTTGTGTCATTTACGGCTCAGGGGCCTGCCGGCCAGCCTTCGGGAGGCGTGGGTGACTGGCACTGACCCCGGGGCTTGGAAGACAGCCCCCCTGCTGGGCCCTTTCTGCGCTCACAGGGACACCCACCAAAACATAGGGAGGGGTCCGAACCTTTGCTTTTTCAGCCTAATTTTGCTTTTGGTTGTTCTTTGAGATCATGTAGCCTCCTTGGAGAAGAAACCCACTTCTGCTGCTTGATCTTGAAATCCCACGCCCTGACAGCTGACAGGTGAGGTGGGGGAGCTGCTGTCCCTTTGGGGCGTCTGCTGTGGTGCAGGGTGGGCTGGAGCAAGGACGGTGCCCCTGAGGCAAGGCCAGGACCCGAGGAAGGGCTGCTGGAGGCCTGCGCCCAGTGTCAATGGGATGGGACCACCGTGTGGGGCTGTTTCTCCGTAAATCAGTTTTTTGAAACCTCGTTGTGTGCTTTGTAATTGTTTTTTTTTGGGACGTGATTCAGACGGAGGCCGGAGCCACGAGCAACGGGAGGTGGGGGCTGAGGGCCAAAGGACAGGACTGGATCCCGGTGGGGTGAGGGGCCCCGGGAGCCTCTCACACCTGTACCTGACAGCATTTTAAATTTCCTAGTTGTGGAATGAAGTGGTAAGTGATCCCCGGATCCCTCCCTTTGATCTCGGCTTGCTAAGTGTTCCCGTCACCGACCCAGTGCCCCTCGGGGACCCGGGGCCACAGTGGGGTTTCCTCAGGCTGAACTGAAGTGGAGTTTGCCTTTTCTGAAAACGGTAAGAACAGGACACACGAGGGCGGGGGCTGTGCTTTGTGCACACACAGCTGGGGGTCTTGTGTCGGGGTTTTCTGTTTGTAAAGGTAATATCCTTGTAAAGAAATGCAAGAATTTTTTTTTTAATTTTTTTTTTTTATTTGACAGAGAGATCACAAGCAGGCAGAGAAGCAGGCAGAAAGAGAGGGGGAAGCAGGCTCCCCATGGAGCAGAGAGCCCGATGCGGGGCTCGATCCCAGAACCCTGGGATCATGACCTAGGCCGAAGGCAGAGGCTTAACCCACTGAGCCACCCAGGTGCCCCAAGAAATGCGGGAACTTAATACAGGCAGTAAAAGTACCTTGTGCTCCTGTTCACGGGCGGGAGGATTCCCCTCTTCTGTCTGGACAGTGGCTTTGCCCCTCAGCTCCCCTGGAAGAAGGCTGCCTGGTCCTTCACCTGGGGGAGGCTGTGCTGGGCAGGGCCCTGGCCCAGCTCCCTGTGTGTCCTGCGGGCCCCTGGGCCCCCTCTTGCGGCTTTCTGTAGCCTGGCCTCTGGTGGGGATTTAGGTCACTGCATACGACCCCAGCCAGCACGAACTGAAAATCCACAAGTGCTGGAAGGGTGCCTTCCCAGCACCTGGTTTTTGGGAACATATGGCTGCAGGGGACGGTCTCTCTGCTCATGTTGAGGGCGCCACCCACAGTCCCTCCCCACACCTGCCCTTCTGTAGATGCCCAGCCCTGGGATGAACAGGAGCTTCTTGGGGAGCAGAGCAGAGGGCGGGAGGTCGTGGACTGCTAGGACACACGTGGGGAGTGCTAGAGGGAGGCCTGAGAAGTAACCCAGTGTTCCCTCCCCAGATGGTCCTGCTCTCCCCAGCCGGCACATGCCTGTGACCCAGGCCCAGCCACAGACCCA